AGTTGGTGCGAGCGCTTGGCTGATGCTGCTAGTTGCTAAATCTGTTGCTAGTTGCTCGAGGAGCAAAGCACATGCCCACTCCGGCCATCTAAATTGATTTGTCTCTAAATAGGCAAAAAACCAAATAGATGGGTGTTTTCCCTCTGGTGTCCCTTTCAAGCAACCCCAAAAGTGCACCCTTGAACAAACACATATCCTGATTCAACTTGGTCTCCGACAGGGACAGCAGCACAGAAGTCGGCATCAAAGGCGACACCTCGCGGTGGCACAGCCACACTAAATGCAGAGCTCCGACACTGGCAGGTGGGAGCACAGCTCCTGATGACCTAGAGTGAACATTGGAAAACTGGCTAGCACACTGCCAAACGCGCTGAACGATTTCCAGTACCAGGTGGATCATCTGCGGCTGATCATCTCTTGGGTCGTTGGTCTTATCAAGTAGCAGGGCACTCAGCGCTCTAGGCGTCATAATGCCCTGGATGAATAGAGAATTGCCCCATCGCCTTCGGTTTTCAGGGAAGGACCCGCATGAATCCACAAGATTTTTCCATAATCCGAAATCAACTCTTCCGCTGACTCCGGCCCCCCCCCGTCCAGCTGGCGCAGATCCCGCAGCGCCGGCCACAATGCGAAGATGCCGAAACCAGCTTGCACTTGCAGCAGAACAGCCCTCGGTGAAGCTGTGCAGAGCTTATTAGCCTGGAAAAGATTTAGTTGGATCTTGACTACCATGATGAAAAAACCTGCCACCAAGAGAATTGCGTTCGACCTAGTGCAGCATTACTGGCTTGCGCCTTTGCTGGCAGTCTGCAAGATCTGTCTGATTATTTGCCCTTCATGAACTTATCGCAATCCTTCGTGCCGTTTTGGGGACTCTTGGGCAGTTGGTTGATAGCAAAGCTGGAAAGAACAAACTCATCCAACGTATGCGCTCATTGCGTGCATATGAACTTGTACCACCACGACGTGGTGGTGCTGCTCCCTTGGAGCCTTTGCTAAGTCCCAAGCTTGACATTCTCGTCTGCAAAAAAGGGCCCTTCGCCTCAATAGCGCAGCACTGAGGCTGGTTGTGGCACCTCCCAAGCGCCCTGCGCACACACACAACAACAACACCCTGTGGTTTGTACTGCGGTAGATTGCAAACAAACCAAAAACAAGCGAACACTGGCGAACACATGCAAAATGAAGATCCTTGCCTGCCTCGACCTTTGCCAACATCCACGCATAGCCATGCGGTCTCCATGCAGTGAGGTCTCCGTTTGATGACGCGTCCCCAATGTGCCTACAGGCTCACCCTGAAATTGAAGGACTTTCAGCACACGGGGCAGTTTGTGATAACCAGCTGGTCTCTTGCATTCATGCGGCTCAGCAGGCAGCAAAGCAGAATCGCTGCATTGGCGACAGCAACCACAGCAGCATTGGCCACAGCTGCCCAGGCCTGTGGAAGCCAGTAAATCATTGCAACCCCAACACTCACTTCCAATGGATATCTCTACAAACCAGCTACAAAAAATCCTTTTTGGCGGCTGTTCGACACAAGTTTGGTAGAAATTCCTGTAGCTCTAGCTGGTTTCTCCGAATATATAATTTGCTCCGCGAGCCACCATACCATCGTATAGCTCATTGTTGCTGTGTGCAACCATCTGTCATGTAAAACTATGCTAGAAACACGTTTACGGAATATGTTCCGGGATTAAGTAAGCTGCAAAAGTCTAGTTGCGTTTCCACGCGAGAGCCAAAGTATGCAACCTTAGCTCATGCAAGATGTTCTCTCTCAACAGTATTTATCCTGTCTTTGCGCGACAAAATGGTCCGCTGCTGCAAACCAAAAAAGTGGCTTTCCCGGCAATGGTCACACGCCTGACCTGCAGAAAATCTACACTGCAAGGAACGGTCCAAACCGCTGGTGGGGAGGGACGGAGGGGGGCTATTTTAACTCTAATCAATCGGTTTGGTCTCCGGGTTACTTCCCGCTACCATTTGTACTATCGCAAGCACATTCACTAGTGCATCATCCACGGTTTCTGTTCCGCTTCTCTGTGGGCCCAAGGCTGCGAAGGGATCACTTGCCGCTTTACCCTCCCCTGGCTACAGATTTTGCCCCCCCCCCCCGCCCCAAAGACGAACATGTCTCTATCAATTTGTTTCCTCGGAGCTAACACTTGTCATGTGCTGCAAAATAGATGGGTCTACCCCACTCTTTATAGGGGCGTTCTCAAGTTGCTCAATTTGGTTCCCTTTAAAACAGCCGTAAAAAAAAAGTACCCAGCCCTCTCACACCCAAACCGGGAGCCAGGCACTGCGCCTCAGGTCCTTGTCCTCATCCACCTCATCGACAGTGGAAGCCACAAAACACATCGAGTCACTAGATTACAGGTGCATTTGCCACCAAGATCTGATGAACCCACAATTCCGGCTCGCATTGTCAGAGACACTCCGGAAGATCATGAAAAGCCTTACCTGTCTCCGGTCACAGAATCGAGCCTACCTATCTCAATGTTCATCTCCAGGAAAGTATGAGTTGAGCAAGTCAAATGGGTAGGTCCGCTCAGCACGCAAATGCTCATGATCATGGATGGCACATCATGGCATGCATATTGGCAGGTAACTGGATTCATGCCTAAAGCAATGGCGCAGAGAACAAGTTACGCAGTGATGGCTGCTTGATGCTGTTGGGCGTCTGCCCATATATTTGGCTCAGTGAATGAGTAAGCGGATCCTCCCTCAGAATCTGACATCTCATTGACGATTGGCTGACTTGGTCTTGAGAGAGCGTCCTAGAAAAGAGTCCCTGATGCATCTGAGTGGTCGACTAAGTCTGATGAAAGCCTGGACCCTCCAATTGGCACTGTGCTCAAGTTGGCTATCTTCAAAGTGCTGTGAAGGGAAACCGCGGAAAAGCCCCCGTTTCTGGTTTTCGAGTGAAATGCTGAAGGAACACTCAGGAAAACCTGCCCATTTCTGCTTGTCCACACCGGGCTCCGTGGCTCCCCGCACCGCCGCTGAGGCCACGCTCGTAGCCCTGTGAGGCCTCGACGGAAAGGTTTGATCCAATGTGTTCAGGCTCTTTGAGGTCCATGTGGCGCCAAAGACAAAAGGAAACCAAGAGGAAAGCAAAAAGAAACCCAACCGGTGTCCAAGCAGGCAATGTGAGTTCTGTGTGTTTGGGACCGCCTCAAGGATATTGATCACGAGGCAGAATTCTGAAGCTGCCAGCGAAAGACCTCGAGAATGTGGTGGGTCCTTGATGGGTGGATTCACAAACAGGGTGATTCCCAAGCAGGTCACTGTAGGCCATTTTGTGCGATTCCCCTTTCAGGGTCTTGAGTCACAATCAAGACATTGCATCAAAGGAGCCTACCCAAACCCAAGTGAACCAAAAGAGTATCCGCACCAATTGGAACCTTCAACTTCCTTGATCAACAGCAGACTGGCAGTCTAAGGAGCTGGCGGCGCAACATGCCCACAGCTGCGTCGGCCGGCTCCATGGCCAGCAAAGCAGCGAGCAAGCTGAGCCCACCGAGAGAACCCTGCAGCAGGCTCGACACGCACCGAGCGAGCAAATGGCTGCGCTCTGCCCCGATCGCCAGCTGAAAGATCTCTCGGTCAGCGTCGTTGGACCTGGCCAGCCTCAGCACTTCGGAGGACGCCGCAGCCACCGCCGCCACGCTGAGAGCGTCAGGCCCGGGTCTCTTTGCAGAGTCCGAGCCTCTTGGCATGGAGTTTCTGGCACCTAAGCGCATCACGCGATCAGGAGCGACAGCTTTGAAGTTGCTGGGGTTGCCCAAGGTCTGCACATAGACCTCTCCGCTTCGCCCGCTCAAGTGCGGTCTCTGCACCGGGGATCTGTGCGGAGACTGCTCGGCAATGGGGTCGAAGCAATCCGCGGCATCCACCTGCACCGACTGCCAGACCGGGGACACCGCTCCGATAGTGGATGGCAGCACCGTGCTGAAACCAGCATATCCGCCATTTGCATAGCCAGCCTCCGCGAGAAGGCACTTCTAGAAGGCACTTCTAGATGCGGCACATGTTTTGGCCCGAACCGCGCTAAATTCTCCCTCCGTGCACATCCAAGCGGCCCTTTAGATCCTTTAAACCCCTCCTAGTGCCGTAAAAGAAGCACGCAAGCTGAGAACAGTGCTATTTGCTTTCTGGCTTCTTTGGCGTCGTGGATTCGACCCGCCTGGAAACTCGCCGGGCCCTGGAAAACACCCGGCGCATGCGGCCTCAGGCAAAGGCCCAAGCAAGTCTTTGGACCAGAGCCTTCAAGCTGGCCGAAGGTTGCAAGAACGGCCAAGACTGGAGGGTAGGCCACCTTCCTGCTCGTGCCAAGTTCAACTGGTCATCTGAGGCGCCTAATTCGGAAACATCATATACATGTATACCTGCACACATACGTGTACTATATATGTATATTACACATACGTGTGTTCTGTTCTACTGTGAGAGCACGGTCCACGCGTATTCCAACCGCTGTCCAAGGCACGGGGCCAGCGCCATTCTTGCGAGGTGCGAGGCGCGAGGCGCTCGGCACGAAGGACGCGGAGGTCTCCCGCGAACTCACGCCATGGCCATGGCTGGTGACCGGCGCGGGTAAATCGCTCACCCGCAGCCAAAATGGGCCAAATGGAAATTCTCCAAATGAATGAACAGCCACACAAAAACGGCAAGGGAGAAATTCCAACCCTAACATCACCTGGAAAAGGATCACCTCAAAGGCAAATGACCGGAGTTTGGTTGGTTCCTCCATCAGTGATCTTTTGCCTCAGCGGATTCAACCGCGCGGCGCGCTTGAGCCAAGGTTGGCGAAGCGCACCAAGCCAACCGTGTTTCCGACGTTCCGGCAGTCATCGGATTTGTTCCCCCCCTCTAGAGTGTCTGTTGAAAGGGGAGCCCTTTTTGACCCCGCAGAAATTCCTGGCACCAACACCTATGGTCCATCGAGGGCGGGAAATGGAACTTCCGCCAGCTCTAACCTTCAGGGTGGTTGAAGTGGCCTTGGACAGGCAGCACCAGCGCCAAGGAGCGCCCCTGCACCTGGAGGTCCGGCACAAATTTGGACGTCTTGAATTCTCCTTTAGCCATGCACCAATTCAAAGGAACCAATGTGACACCCGAACCTGGAAATCGATGTCCTGGAAGTCCTGGTTGGCTTTTGAAAGCAAACCAAAGAGAACCGTACCCTTCGGAAATGCCAACAGGGGTCCCTTTGGTTTCCTTTTTCAGCCAACAAAGGCTGCCTGCTTTTGAAGGCTGGCGAGTGGCAATTGACAAGTGGCAAGTGGCAGCAGCTCCTTGCTGCTTCCCTCCTCGCTTTCCTGGCGACTCCACAGAATCAGAACCCGCAAGTGAGCGCCCAAGACTATTGGCCATTTTAGCAGGCGTTTCTACCACACTGATATGATTAGATCCTGTACAAGTCTCTGTAACCATCTCGGTAGAACCCCAAATCAATGGGCTGTGATGCTCAAGTGAATGCCCCCGAGCCTCGAGCTGCCGCCATTGCAATCGAAACTCTGCTGCGAAGTCCTGCGTGCAGAGATTTCCAGCATGGCTCGCCCTGTGGCACCTGAAGAGGCCATCTCGCAAACGCCTACACGAAAGAAACACGAATGGCTGTATGAAATACGTTCCTCTTTTTCCACTGATTCGTCCGCGCAAAGACAAATCAGGCGTTTCCCAATTCAAGGGGGCTTTCCGACAGCAGCCGCTCCGCTGCAGAGGCCCCCAGAGGCTCCACAAGGACGGTGTTCCCATCACAAGCCTCTCCTCGCAATGGGCTGTGGGTCAAAGCGCTAGGAGACGTGGACGTCGGTTTGTGACGGACAAAAACCGTCAAAACCTGCGGCGAAAACACCTTAAAACTTGGGCTAGTGCAGCCACGGCTCGATCGGCGTCGCTCGGGAAAAGCCTGGCATTGCACGCTTCTTGGTGTGGAAGCCAAGGGTGGAAATGTGCGTTCAAGGACACCTCCCTTTCCCTGACCCCCCCCCCCCCCTCGTTTTGAACATCTGGATGGCAACCCAGCCAGCTGCGCACGCGCAGAGGCACCGGAGGCTTTGGAGCTGCCTGCAGATGGTTGGCAGCTCAGGAAGTGAATGATTTGCTGTTTGTAGGGTGCCCGTCAAACTCTTGGACCCCCTTCAAAAGTCTGGCTGACTGCAGCTTGTCAGACACCACGCCAAGCAGGTCAACAGCACAAGTCCGCCGGCTCCGATTTTGAAAGTCTCCGTCTGAGCGCGGTGTTGAATTGACGTGGCTGAAGCAACCCGTTCATTATCTTTGTACATGGTACATGCATCTTGCAAAGATACCGCACGCCAGCTGGTGCGGCAAAGCATGGACCCGATGCGAGCATCTCCAAACACCAGTTGTGCAGTCAGCTATGGCTCAATATTCGGAATCCCCGACCTTCCGGTGGGGCTCCAATTGAGCCAAACCTCAGCATCGCGCAGGACTCGACTGCCGCAACCGACCTGCCATGGCAGTGGCCCTCAGGGGCCTCCCTCTTGCGCTCTCTCCTTTTCTCCACGCGCACAGCACGCTAGGCGCACAAAACAAAAGAGCATGTGGTAACAAAGAAGGGAGTTCGATTCCAATTATTGCACACGTGAAAAAGGGGAGTTCCCATGGTTGCCGGTCACACAAGTTGCAACATGGATAGTAGCAGAGGTGAGCTCAACTTGCAATGGTTCGGAAAGCAAACGTAGGCCCTTTCATAACAGCTCAAGATACTGTCCGGCTAAAGAGCATCTAAATCATCAAACACCCATAATTCCACACCCAAACCATGTTGGCTCCCAAACTGAACCAGGGTGCATTGGTTTTGTCGGCCACTTTTCAGGCCGCATGTTGCTTCCCAACGCCAGGCCTCAAGATGCAGCCGTCTCGATTCAACGAAGCGCCTGGAGCTCCGTGGGTCATGGTTTCCCATAGACTTGCCACATGGAAAAACCACAACGCGTCCCTTTGCTCTTTTTTCCCCAACAGCTGAAAGCTTTGGGGTCTCAGCCCAGATGAGCAGTCCCGAAAATAGGATAAAACCCTTTACTAACAAACCACTTTCGCGGAACCTTTCGCGACGCTTTCGCGGCGGGCTCTTCTTCAACCACTTTCGCTGCAAGCTTTCGCGGGCTTTCGCGCCCTGCGTTTTGGCTTTCGCAAGGCTTCGATAGGAGAGGCCCTCAATTCACTCCTTTCATAAGGGTTTTTGGCGCTGCTCAGATAGGCTCCGGGGTGGTCCTGGGCGGTAAGGTTCCACGAGGGTTCCACTAGGGTTCCACCAGGGTTCTACCAGGGTTCCAAGGTTCCACTCAAGTTCCACCAGGGTTCCACGAGGTTCTGTGAGGGCTGCGGGGTGGTGCGAGCACTAAAAAGAGCACCGCATGCTGTTGTGTCGAGCGAATGGCAGCTCTTTTCCTGTGGCAATTAGAGCCTCCGATTGCGGTGCATGTACATCATGCGTTGCATGCGGATATGACTGAACACAAGAACAATCGGGGATATCACCCGAGCTTATTTTTTGACAGACACGCCACGAAAAGGTACTCTCCAAACAAACGCGCCAAAATAGGGTTCATCGCCAAGCAATCGTTTGACAGTGGCGCGTGAGAACGTAGTTTCATTCGGGACGCTCCCTGTCATCTGTGTGAGGAGCACAAAGTGGTCAAACAACATCCCTTGCAGCTCGAGAACAAGAAAAAGAAAAAGAAAAAGTGTCCTCAACCCCAAAAAAATGTGCGACGAAAATAGGCTCAAACCCTGTCGTCAGCTTCGATCCACTTGGCAACTCCGTAGAATGGCGATGTACGTGGCATGGGCCAAAACTACCCACTGCTGCAGACCTGCTCCTTCCAGCAGTTGGGGTTCGTCCACATAAAGGGGGGACCCTTTTAGAAAGGAGGTTTTCCCTTCGCTCTCCCTTTGAAGCAACCCCAAAATCGGACCAGCTCCAAAACAAGAAACATCCGCCATGAATCTACCAGGCTTCCTTCCCCATTGCATGCCTGGATGGCGGCCAGCACCCGCCGCACCAAAAAGGGCGCAGAGAGGCCCAGGCCCCGCAGGTCCGCCTATCCAATGGATGGGCGAAATGGAAGACCCGTTGGCGGATTCGTCGCGCCGGGTCCAACTTTTTGACGGAAAAACGGTCGTCGACTAACCATCTGAAAGGGGATCTGCCATAAAACTCATGGTCAAATCGTCGATGCTTTGGTACTTGAGGAGCGGGTGAACGAAAGCTAGCAGTTGTTGCATGAGATGGGTCGGTGACAGAGTGGAATCATAGGTAGCTTGTGTACAACGAGAGGCCCGGCAAGATTCGTAGGATGCGACACGCAAACGCACATGGTGGCGTGGCAAACCTTGAAAAATGAACAACGAGAGGCGTCAGAAGCTGTCTTGAAGCACCTCTGGGTTCTGCATGCTGCGTGTGCAAAGATTCTTGCGAGGTGGTTTACCGAGAAGACTGAGGTCTCAAATGAACAAGCTGAATCGGTGGAACATGTAAAAGTTCGTAGCACCAAGTCCAAAACGGGCAAACCGAGACTGCTGAACACTGAGCCACTGCCTGGGGGGGGGGGAGGGGATGGACCAGGGAGGAATCGAGCCTGAGACCCGGAAGGGGGGGGAGGGGGGGGGGGGTCTAAATGATCGGATCAAATAATTGAAAAATTCAATCTTTATTTGAGCCCCTTACCTTGCTTACGCAAGGAGAAACTTCAGCTAGCTAAAGCTAGCTTTCGTGAAAATGCTCTGCTTGTCTCCTGTTTCTAAAGTTTTTTACTTGGGCCCTTGTTATGGGCCGCTAATGGCTGAAAAATACATACACTATATATACCCCTTATGTATTGGGTACGTAGCACAAGGACCAGGTGGCTGGATGTGCGCGTTTCTCAGCTGCTGCCTCTGGAGTAGCAATCTTTGACGACAGCAATCTTGAAAGGTTCCAACTCCATTGGGACTCTTCGTGCCAAGCCCCCAAACCCCGGTCCCAAAAATAGGGGCCCATTCAGGAAACCCACTGGCACAGACAGTTTCCTGAATGGGCCCCTATTTTGGGAACTCAGATGTTTGGGTCCTTGGTTGCCCTTTTGCTGAAATCAAACTTGCAGATTTGCGTTCGTTGAAACTATCGTCTCTCTCGCCAGCAAACCACAAAAATAATGGCCCATAACAGTGGCCCATGTAAAATTCTTTAGACTGTTGTGCTTTTTGTTGCGCTATCCGATTTGAGGCTCTGTTTCTGCCACTTGCTTGTGTCCTTCCTCTGAAACCCGAGTGAGTCCATTAGTCTGCCGCAACTACCATAACTTGAATGGCTGTCTACAAACGCTCACCATTGGAATCAAGGACTCCCAACGAAGATGTTGTAATTGCTTGCGGCCTTTAACGAAGGCTGGCTGAATACTGCTGCTCAATCGTCCTCGTCGTTGTTCCACCTACTCTTAGCCTATGATCTGACCCACTCCCACGTCTGGGGGCCATGCCAAACATATGTGAAAGGCTCCACGCAGAAATCCAACACGCACATCAAACACACACGCACACACCAAACACAAACAAACACAGACGGTTGTCTGAAATTCCTTGTTCCGGAAACCGCCATCTTCGCGAGAAAAAAATTAACTTTCGCGGACCCCATCGCGGAACTTTCGCGGGGTTGTTTTCAGAACATTCCATCACAAAAGTAGTACACGAAGTACACTTTCGCAGTCCCAGCTCGAAAGTCGTGGCTCTTCAGTGCGAAAGTAGTACTAAAACTAAACTTCCGCAGCCCGGCTTGAACACGAAAGTAGTAGTACTACACGAGCTAAACTTCCTCAGCCTCGACAGTCAGGACTTTTCAATACGAAAGTAGCACGCAAAGTGAACTTCCGCAGCCCCAGCTCGAAAGTCGCGACCTTTCAGTTCCAAAGTAGCATGCGAAGCGCTCTTCCGCAGCTCCAGCTCGCAAGCCAATGAGCTACGCATGAGAGGACCCGTTGGCCTCATGTCCAGAAACTGGTGGGGAGGTCCGTCGACTTTCGCGAAAATCCAGCTGGAAGCTGCGCTCAGCTTGCCCCGACAGCTTCGAAACTCCCAGAAGCTGGTTTCTGCTTGCTAGGGGTTGCTTTTGCAGCGGCGTATTCTTGCGGCGACTCTCAGGCTGCACATTCTCCGACCAACTCTAGTCTGCGAGCATTCTGCGCGCACTGCCGGTAAATACACATGGTTCATCACTCCAGCTTCCTGTTAGCAAGCCACACAAAACTTTCGCGGAAAAAAAATAAGTTTCGCGACCCCCTTCGCGGAACTTTCGCGAAGGTCAGCGCTAGGACCAAAAGGTCTTCGCCTTCATAGCTCAATACAAGGACCTTTCGGACGACTCTCTTAAATATACCACAGAATCACCCTGCGCCCCCAAGCCACGCAAACTTCCCCTTCTGGGGCACTTCAAGGTCCATAGCAGCATCCCCATCTTCTTAACATCATCGGTGAGCTCCTCGAGCCCCACTCCGGCGCACAGCCGTCGTGGCGGCCCCCACTTCAAGTTGGGCATCTCCCGCAGCAGCTCCGGCCTTGAAGGGTTCCTGCCCTCCGTCAAGTGGTCTGGAAGGGCAAGCAGCTGCTCTTGATGTCGGCACGGTGTCCGGCCCCGTTGCCTCCGAGGCCCATGGAGGTGACGGATCCAGACAGCATGCCGACCCCCTCCGAGATCAAGAACAGCTACTCGCCCTTCCAGCTTGACGGAGGGCAGGCTCCAGGTCGAATTGCAGTCCGAGAGCTCCGACATCTTCGCGCGGAGGTCGCTGGGTTGCGCCTCCAGGTCCAAGCGCGGGAGCTGCAAGGCTGGAGTCTCAGGCGTTGAGATTCCTCCTGCGCCGATACCTCCTCTTCCTCCGTCACCAATGTGGTGTCCACCAACTAGAAGGAGTCCATGCTGGCTTCCGAGCGAGACATGGTCGAGTGAATGAGAGGGGTAGAAAATGCTACAAGTTTTTCAGTAGGCCATGCCAAACAGACTTGAGCCACCGCTACGCTCTTTCATTAGAAACAAAACGCACGAGTGCACAACAAGTCTGCGTGTTTGGCGGCAGCCATCACCCACATGAGAATGCGTGCCTCTTCAAAGGTCAAGAGGGTCGCCCCGTCAACGCAGTACTCAGCCAGCTTTCTCGCAAACTCAGGCCTCAAAATGCCCAGCAATCCGCGGTGCACTATTTTCCCAAACCCCTGCAAGACTTGGAAAAGCAGGAGCACACGCGCTCACTGTGCAGAATGGCGGACAGGGAGTGGCACGATGTTGTCTTTACGTGGAATGCAAGTTTGATCCACATAAGATTCGCTCCCAAAGCTGGAGTCAAGCCGGCAAGCAGTCCGAAAATTTAGATGATTCGGCTGCCACCTTCGTCCGTTTCTCTGAGGCCCCAGGCACCTGCACCGCCGCCGCCCAGAGCTGCACCTCGTGGGCCGACCACTTCGTGGGTGCCTGCCGCTGCGGCACCCGGAGGCTCGCGGAGCGGAAGGCGGCGCCGCCGCAGGCGACCTCCACAAAGGCCGAGTAGTCCTGGGAGTTGGGCCAACTGCGGGAGAGAAGGATTGATGACTTGAGTCTATGGGTTGACGTGAGGCGGCACGACATTCTTCACCAAGATGCCCAGAAAGGGGAAACCAAGTTTGGTCAACCCTTCTCCTGGCGAACAACAAGAACGAGCTTCCTGTTCTCCGGTTTCTGGGCTTCAGCTCCACTCCCCCTACTCCCCCCCCCTCTTCTGCCCCTCTGCCCTGCCTTGTCGGGCGCCAGGCCCTCCAGCCGCCCGCAGCCCCGGGACTCGAAGCCCTGGTCGCCCTCCACGGAGCTCACGGCGCACGCCGAGCCCACCGAGGCCGACGCGGAGCCCACGGGCGCAGCGGCCGACCCCGAGGCCTCGCTGGGGCACGCCACCTCAGGACTGAGCCATGGGCCAAACGGCCAGTGGGTTGAGAGTTCGGATTGCCTGGGAAACCGCCAATTTTGGGGTTCATGGAGACAAACCGAAGAAGGGTGAAAACGGCGAGGTGTTGGAATGGGACAAAAGTCGAGTGGGAAGCCCCAGCGCAAAGGGGGGAGCAGTCTTGCGGAGGGGTCCTTGCACAAAACACACACACAAGACAAAGCAGAAAGAGATCAACGACCAAGAGATCAACACCTCGACATTTTTCCACAAAGCCCCGCCAGGCGAAACTCCAAGTTCTGCGGGTAGATCGCCTTGGAGGAGAACTCCATCGTCAAGGCGTTGGGCCACAGCCCCGTGAGCCGCGCGGAGATCTCGCGGGAGGCGGTCTCTGCGCTGGCGGCCAAGGCCTCGGACGGAGCCGTCTCCCGCTTCACCGGGGCGGCCTCCTCCTTCTGCTTCACCTGGATGGGACGTGATGGATTCCTCACGTCGAGCCAACCCGAAAAGTGGAATTTACCATCTTTGAAGAGGCATCAAAAAGATGATGAAGTGAGAATGGCTGGGAAGGGGCGTGCATCAGCACTAGACTGATGTTCACTTAAGGGTCCCTGATTCATCCTCACCTTCACCTTCTTCTCCTCCTTCATCTCCTGCTTCTCTATCTCTAGCTCTTCCAGCTTCCGCTTGACCTCTGCTTTTGGCACCTCAGCCTTCTTGACCTTTTGGTTGCCATCTTTCTTCACAGCGGTCGCTGATTGTGGAACTGGACTAGAATAGTCAAAGTGAGGCATGAGAAGCTTCTGCAAGTCTGTCAAGCATGCTCGCTCTGCGCCCAGAATTTGCTTCAGCTGCGTGTCGCAGAGGATCTCGCGCTTGTTGGAGGGGTTCAACAAATTCCGGTCCTTCGAGTATGCCCATATCCTCCTGACCAAAGCATGTTTAAACCACCATTGCTTTCACAAAGGCGACCAGAGGGTGGTTGTTTAAACACATTGTGCAACCAATCCCGGAAGCTGCCATCGCTTCAAAGGGAAGCCAAAGGGAAACCAATGGGTAGATGTTTCCCATTTGGAGACAACCCGCCTGACTGTCTCTGGCCGTGACAGCGCAGCGTCCCCCAGCATCGACGCCAGGTCTTCGGACAAAGCCACCGGGCGATTCATTGCCTCGCGGCTGGCGTTCCGCCGCTTCGCGGTGGCCTTCCGCTTCGCCGGTTTCCGCTTCGCTTTCGCCCTGCCCTCCTTCTTCACCTGGAGGGCGGTTCCTTTCTTTGGCCAACGCCAAGCCTTTTGGTCGGTTTGATGCGGAACCCCACGCAAACTTGCCGTGTCCACAAGCCGGGAAACCCAAACCAAAGCAAACCATGTCCCCACGCTGAAGAAAAGGCCGTCCGCGCCTTGCGCGACTGCTCCGCCTTGGCGCGGAGCGCCATGCCCCGCGCCACCAGCCCATCCACGGCCACCTTGGCCTCGCGCTTCACGGGCGACTCCTGGGTTTCTTAGGGTTGAGGTACCGACATTCACCTCGGGCTTCAAACGGAAACCAAACGGAAAACCCGCGGGGTCCGAGCCCTGAAGCCTTATTTTGCCACATCTCCTGCTTCTTGACAACCGGCTCCTGCTTCTTGACAACCGGCTCCTGCTTCTTGACGCCCGCCTCCACCTGAGCGCAAATTGTCTTCAGTTTTCCTCTATGAACATGCGTTCATGTGACAGTCCCTCCCCATGTCCCCTAAATCTAAATGGAGCACCATAATATGTCGACTGAACTTTGGCTGGGGCTTTATTTCCCTTATATAAACGGAACAAATGGGGAAGCGCAGCAATTCTGAAAAAGTAAGGACCCCGATGTTTTGTCACAAAATGGGTCAAAAAGGGGCATCCCCGCTTCTCCAAAACCTTCCTTGGCATGTCTCCAGACCGCAACCCAGTTGATGTTGTAAGTTTAAAAGTACCCGAAAGGAAATCAATGGTCACAAACACACTGCAAGTACCAAAGGTAAGCATCTGCAAACATGTGTCCCTGCAAAGTAACATGGAACCCAAAAAAGGAACCCAAAGGACCCCTTCGAGACACGCCTTGACTTTGTGCTCCGCCTTTGCCGCCTCCGCCTTCACGCTCCTTGCTGGGCAGCCCGCAGCTTCGGCCTTGACGCCCGAGCGCTCAGGCTTCACCATTGCAGGTGAGGATTACGCACGTGAAGCACGGTCAATACTTGTCCCCACATGAGTTTGGATTTTGGTGTAACCTCCATGAAGTGGCAAGTTGGTGAGCGTACCTAATGCCATTCCCTTGACTACAGTAGATGGCGGCAAATATGAACCTGTGCTCATGTGGCGGTTTACTGCAAGGGGGTCGCTCAGAGCTGCAAAGAAGCCGAAACTTTGTTGTAGTCTGGCCGCAACTGGAAGTAACGAGCCGCGTCAGCGGTCAATGCACAAAGTTAACTTACTGACCTAGCCGCTTATCTGCTTCCATCTTGATAAGCTTCAAATCTGCGGCGATGCACTCGACCAATATCACCAAGTGTCCCATGGGCAGTCATGATACTGTTCAACATGACCTTCGCCGCTGAATGGCGGCAACACGTCCTCCCACAACTTGACCGGTGTGCCGACGGCCAAAAGCCCTGAACTGCACCATTCAAATTCCCTCACAGCGCACCGGCGGCTTTGGAGTCGAGGATGACCGTTTCCTCTGTCCCTTGTTGATGGAATCCTGCGGAGGGGAAAGAAAGCATTAAGCTGAGTGTCAAATTGTGGGAGCAGTGTCTATGGCTCTCTGTTTGCTTCCAACCCTAAGCATGAATCAATCTAAGCACACATTGCGACACACGTGGCTTGCGGTCCTTGCGAGGGCGCTCCTAAGGCTGACTCTATCGGCCAAAACAGGCAATTTAATTCCAAGCTCCCAAGCCTCATTCAGCCCTCATGCTGGGACGGGAAATCGCGCCTAAGGACTGCACCTCGTCAGCTGTCCTTTGCTGAGATGGGACATGCTACCTCTCTTGCATAGAATTACGAAATGCCAAATGAAGGAGAAAACAAACGGTGTGACTTGTGCCTATCCTTCACTGGTTTCGCCTTCTGCGTCAAACTGGATGCTCGCACATTTCCGCCTCAGTTGCAATTGCTGATAGCCAAGGATCGTTTGCGCTGGCACGCCAGATCCTGGCGACCAGAATGGAACATCAAATTTGGGTTTGTCGAGTGCGCAACATCCGCCAGCGCATGCGTTCAGTACTTGGACATGGGCCTTAATAAAAGACCTTTGGGTTGCCCTTCCCGATGGCGCATAGGTCCCCCCCCCGTTCGAGACATGCCCACGGAGCTCGAGACCCCCACCTCGCGCAATAGGCGGCAAGGTCCTGATCCAGAGAGGCGGGAATGTGTGGACACCCGGGACTCCCAGCGATGACAAACATGGACACCGACACAAAACCAGTGAGTCTGCCGAGTAGGCGCAACACCGCAGCCTTGTAATTCAAGATGACCTCTGCCAATGAGTTCTGTTGAGTACTGGTCAGTTCAACTCACGTCACGTCAGCGGAAGTCCATGCAAATGTCCACGCCCTTAAGCCAGAAACGGTGAAGACTTCCGGACTTCTAGACTCGAGATATAAATTGCTCCTTCAGTCTACCTTGTACATGAGTGGCAACAGCACCCAACGACCCGGCCATCTTTCAATCTGGACGACCTCCCGCTTTCTGATGTGGCTCAACAGGAAATAACAGGGAGCTAGCCATTCTGGGATACCGCATCTTCACACACAGTCCCAAAGCCTGGCTACTTAGGTTGTCTCCTAAACTGGACAGTTTCCCTTAGATTCCCTTTAAACCAACGCACAAAGGCTACTGCCCACAAAAGAAGAAAGCACTTGGGCACCCAAATCGAGCGATCCCGGCCTCGAGGTCATTGCATCATCCCCATGGCTGCAAGCCGGAGTGTGGGCAAAGGCTGAGGCAACTGAGTGGGCGACGGTCTGAAAGTGCGATGGATCCCAACTCATGGCTTCAAAACTTCAAAATGGCATGCGGATGCATGCAGCGGTTTGAACATGTTCACCCGGTGCAGGCTTGCCTGAATCTAAGCCTGCAATTCTGTTCAGGCATAGTGACAAGCAGCCAATCCCGCCAAGGCAAACACAGGGCAATGACTCCGAAGTCCCAAGATTTGGTGCAGCTGTGGAATGATGCCTCTTGCTGGCACGCCTGCATCGCTGCTTCTTCTGCGTGTGCTCGTTAACTGTGTCGAGGCAACCTCAACATGTCTCCGCCGCGTGGGCCGCAGCGGTGAAACAACTTGCTGTCACTGCAAGAACTCTTTGTAGGACCTTCTCCTTCGATCAATGGATCGCTCGCCAATCTGCAGCAGAAAGGCAGTGCACAAAGACAGTGGCATCGCCGCCACTGCCACAGGTGCCACGGGATTCTGAATTGTGGGGTTTAAGGTCACTTTGAAGGGTTGTATTGGTGTGGGCGTGGGCATGGGCTCGATGATGGGCATTCTGCCCAGATTTTCGATGAGCTGCAGCGGCCGGTTGCCTTCGGTCTTCTGCAAATATTCCACCACTCGATGTTCGTAATCCCACTGGGCCATCTTCCTTGCCAAGAAGTCGTGATCCAAATCATAGTCCTGGCTGGGGTTGTCGTGCATGATCGGCCCACGAATTGTGAGCATCAACTGATCATCCAGCGACCACGGATACCCGCCAGGCCCGTTGGGCTCACTTGCGCTCTGATGGCTCAGCTCGGGCTGAAGAGTCAAATTTTCGGCAGCCTTGTCCACCCGTCGCAGCAGCACCTAGGGATGGCAAGCGTAGAAACAGTGGAACAAATACAACTGCCAACAGCTCATGCCTCCATGTTCAGGCTGGCCCAGATAAAAGCCAAGCTGACACGTTTAAACAAACAGAAGCAAGAAATGGCTCAGGCACTAGGTCGGCTACCCGGTCAGACATCTAAAAAAACTCTCAGAATCGAGAGGCGCTGCACTTGCGGGCACCAAGTTGCAAAACATGTTGCTGCATCTGCACTCCTTTCCATTCAATCGATCAATTGGTGGGATGAACATTGATGCAAGCCCATAGAAAGCTGGACATTGCCCAAGTCAAGGCCAGCGGGCTCATTGACGCGAACTCGCTCTTGTTTGTGCGACAACAACCAACCGGTTCATATCATGTCAACCAATCTCCAAAAGACAAGGCTTCATTTCCTTCGATGGAGCTAATTCATCTTGGGCCAGTTCAGTGGCCAGTATGACGGTTGAATAAACTATCCCCGACTTGAGGAACTCAAGAATTAGTTGTTGCCACGTAGTTGTCCTGAATTTGTTGGTTTCTGGGGGCCTTAAAAAAGCAAACCACTCAAACGGCATCCATCCGCCTGGGCTGCCTGCATGGCGTTGATCGCGTTCAGGGCCGCCGCGTGAGCGATCTGGGACCCGTGCTCGAAGCGAGTGGCCAGCTCGGCCAAGTCCTGTCCAGGGTGACGACCCTTCGGGGAGTTCTGTACTTGGGAACCCTCTTTGGGACTTCTTGGGTAGTCTTTGGGAACCCTGCAGGGAATTCTTGGGGACACTTTGGGGACCTGTTGATCCTTTGAAAGTCTTAAAGATACGTCCATGCAAATTGAATTGACACAGAGAATCAGATTCTCTCAAACTGGTGGATTCTTGCGTTCTATGTTCGTCTACAAAAGGGTACATCCATGACCAACATGTATCCTTTGAGCAACCCTGCTTCGGAGTGCAAGTGGGTGGGTACCTTTGGGTGAACATCGCTGACATGCGGGGGGGGTCCTCACTGAGATTCATGGCTAAGTAGATGTGCAAACGTTGGCAGCCAATCAGTTTTGTGTTGGGCCTCAAAGGGAGCAGAAGATTCCAAATGACACCTAAGACAAGGGGAGCGTGCTTGAAAATGACCCTCATGAGTTGCCACACAATCCAGGGGGCCTGGGGATTTTGACAGATCAACGGGTGGACATGGGGAGGAAACCTCCCTGGGCTTGCCTTGATTTATCTTAGACACCAGCCCAAAGAGAAGAACTAGGTCTCTCCTAAGTTTGAAAAATAGAGAAGTGTAAACTCCCTTGAAAGCGCGTCCCGTTGAGTTCCCTCTTCAACGACCGAAAAAAGATACCCTACCCAAAAAGGGGAACCGTCAAAACAACAAACACACCCAGTTTCCCCAAGGTTGGGTGAGCCTGGCTTTTGCGGGATATTTCCTGAGCCCCCCCCCCTCCCCAAGCCCCTCCCAAATGGACCAAGGCTTGCCACAAGAACTGCATGTGGCTGGACATGTTGACACACTTCAAATGCGGGCATGAATTTTGGGGGACCCTTTGGTGGACATCGTCATGTGGATTTGGGGGGGGTTCTCAAAATGGGCCCCTTTTTGGATGGTTTGATTGGGAAACCAAAAGGAAACACTTGGGGGGTTCCCCCGCATTCAAAAAAGAAACATGTCTCCCCGCGACGCGAGGTTCCGGGGTTCCGGTCCTGGCACTCCCCGGTCGCCTCGCAGGGTGCCGCGGGCCGAGCCTCAGCCTCGATGCAGGGGTTGGGGTTGTAGTTCCTCAGGCATCGAATGAAAAAGAAACCCTGAAAGGTGTCTTCCTTGTGGCATCCTTCGAACAAGAAGCATGTTCGTGGGGCTCAAATCGTCCCAAGTTCAACATGATGGATGATGATGATGATGATGATGATGATGATGATGATGATGATGATGATGATGATGATGATGATGATGATGATGATGATGATGATGATGATGATCATGATCATGATCATGATGATCATGATGATGACTTGTTCTTTCTAGAAGGGGCTGCTCATCTGACTGAGTTGCTCTCGAGCCAACCAAACGCAGAAGCGCGTTCGTGCTCATACGAACATCAAATTACCGCTACCGAAAAATGTCCATTGCCGACATGGGGAGTACGGTACGAGCCAACATAATTGCAATATCATGCGCCTTCATACCCGAAGCAATAGATGAATCGGATGATGCATGCCCCCAAAGGTCGGGTCGGATGGCAAGATACCTCCACGAAAGCGCAGGTTCACAAGAGGTCCAAAGAAAGACCGACAGCGAGGCTTGTAGTGGGGTCCAAGTGTGTACAGTCTCTCAGAGCATAGAGAAAAGGGCCAGCCACATCAATCCTTTCCGTGACGTTCCGTGCCTTTTCAATTCTTCACAAGTGCGGAATCTCAACACAGATCACAACAGTGTTTCAAGCCCTAAAGGAAGGACGCTTTGAACAGCCCACATATCAACGGGAATCCCAGGAAGCTTGGCTGCACGCACGGCCACGCAGGGTAGCACTGCGGGCTTGCTGAAATCCACTCTGACAGGCCCGCCAGGCTTCAAGGCTCAAAGCGCTCCCAATCAGACTTGCACTGCTCTGGCAATGCTCTAGACTAGAGTCTGGATTGAAGATCCAAAAAGCAGAGTCTCACGCAAGCCAACTCGAGAAAGGCTCAACTTTGAGAGGTTTGGGACACGGGTGAACATGGCTTAAAGTACCGGCAAAATCGGCCTGACTGTAACACGCCTACCTGCCAAAGCAATGCTCATAGACGCTCGTCTAAGGCCCGGATTCCGGAGGGCGGTTGGGTTTCCAGAAAACAAAATTGAGTAATATGGTAGTGGTAGTGATAGTGAATAGCAAACACTACTTACTAATTTAAGTCATGGATCAGTCTCTGGCAGAACGACTCAGCATGTTGCCTGACAGAGTCAACGCCTTGGATCATTGGATTGATTTCGGCCTTTTGTTGAAGAGGTAACAAGATACGCCTCAGCTAAGTGCAGCCGACTTCTCCCATAGGTTGCATGCCAAATGCCATCGATAATGTGCGGCTTTGCAAAGCCGTATGTCTCACCAATTGGCTGAGTACTCCTGATCGTCAATCATGACCTCCGCAATTGCGGAGGCATCGGCTCTACTATCTAACATCAAAGACCGCAGGGAAGTTCATGCTTCCCCCACCCTCTGCCCCTCTCTGCGAGAAGAAACAAAACGCGCATCGAGGCGCTCGTCCCCAGGCACGCCGGTGATCAGGGCCTTCCCCCCGAAGACCCCGTAGCGGGAGGCCATGGTGGGCACCCCCGGGGGCAGCGCCTCCCCCACCAGCGTGGGCTGCGGCGGCTTCAGCGTGCTGAACCATTTCACGAAGTCGTCCTGGGGACAGGGAAAAGGCAAAAGGGGGGAGGGGTGAAGTGGGGAAGTGGGGAAGTTGGGAAGTTGGGAAGTTGGGGGTTGGACCCAAGGCCCAAAGCTGTTATCTTGACTATCCCCAAATGGGATCCCTCAAAATCAGGGAGCATAAATGGGTTTACACAGTGGCTACTCAGGAGCCATCCAGGCTACATACCAAACATCCGCATCAACATGCTTGGGGCTGGATGGGACTTGGGCTGATGCCGACTCTGAAGCGCACGCGGCCTCGGACAGCGTCCGCTTCTCGTTGCCCATGCCCAGGAGGTTTGCAAAGAAGGAGCCGGAGAGCCGCCCCATGGCGATGCGAGCAGGACAAGCGCCGGCCAGGCCAAGGCCCGGCCCCCGGGCTCCGAACTGAGCTGAATGCGAAAGCCAAGGATCCGCACCACGTCTCAAGGGCAGCCTTCGAACATGCAGCATCGGTATGAACACGGCTGTAGAGTGTAGCTTTTTTGCGGGAGCCAAAGACTTTGGCTGGGCACCAACCACAGCTGGGGCACAAATGCCATGCGCTTCTCCCGAAGGCCCGCAGGCTAGTCATTGCCCATCGGCTGAGGTCAAACAACAACTGCCCCGCTGCTGTTTCAGCAGCACTCGCCAGAGCTGCCAACCCCCTATGAAACCTTGACTCTTGCCTGTACATTGACACCGGGCTTTTTGGAACGTTCAAATGAAAGCAAAGATACAGGTGAGACACGTCGCAACTGTGCCAGGCAATCAGCCTTACAGTGCCAGCCTTGATCCGGGTGATTCGGATGGTCCAACCTGAGCCACGATCGGAATATGCGAGTTCCTTAACAGGTTCTTGGAAATTGGTGTCCCCAATGTCTAAATCAGGCAAGTCAGACCATCAAAGTTGGAGTCCGGCCGCGTATGGGAGTTGATCACGCACGTATTGTTTTGGAGATGATGTGCGGGCAATGTTTAGAATGGGGCGATGGCATTTGGAAGCCTTGATTTGAGCAAGGCATTTGACGGAATTGAGCATGATGCCTTATTCGTGTTGCTGATCAAACAAGACATTTCTGAGCCATGTGCGCGACCTTATGATTGCCTTGTAGGATCAGACCGGGTCCATGAAAGGAAGTCGCAAGTGTGCAATACAAAAAAGGTGATGTCCTCAGCCTTTCCTTGTTCAATGCTGGGTTGCAAGAGGCGATCGGTGCATGGAAAGTACGTTTGACGTCCCATTTCATCCATGTAGGTGTGTTAGCCCAACTTCTTGGGCGCCATTGATATGCATGATCAAAACTCTGATTGAAGAACTTGGGCGTGTTGGTCTACAGTTCCAATAAGTTTGGACATCAATGGGGGAATGGTGTCAGTACTACACATACCTCGTCCGTCATTGATGTGGAGACTTGAGCAAACGTAGCACCATTGAAGTTGGCGGCTGGCCTGAATGCAACTCAACAAATTCAGGCAGACACTCGCAAACTGGAATGTGTCACTGAAACTAAATATGTGCCTTTTTGATGCTACTGTGTCCCCAACAAGTTTATTTGGACTACCCGCATTGCCTCTTACACAAACTCAGCTCCTCAAACTGGACACTCTGCAACGGCGAATGTTGCGTCTGATGGAACATGAGGTCAACTATGGTTCGAATAAATGGGCGGCTACAGGCCGCGTTGCGGGCCCATCGCGTTGACCCTTGGACGCAACAATTAGCGAAGCGCCATTGCAATTTGCAAGCAACTGGCTTGCCAAGGGGGCTGGGACTGCCTTTGTTCGGGGTCAATTTCATCATTGCAATCCTTCGCTCGAAGCAGCCAAGCGGAATGACTGGCCTTGTCAAAGTTTGGGTGTTTTCGAGCCAGTATGTCAACCCGTACAGCCGCGTCGTGTAAATGCCCGTTCCCCCGTGTCCTCATAGGACCGTAGTCTCTGACTCAACTGGGCACAAGCCAAAACTGAGGCCACAGCGACTGAGAGGCACAAAGGGCAGCGGTTTTGGTGACCGAGCCTAAGCTGCGCAACCTCTGATGAGTCTTGACCAGCTCCAGAAATTCTGCAGGAACTTTACCAAAATCCCTGGTTTGGGGCGGATGTTTGGCTCACTTCCTGTAGAATGTGCAACAGCTGGTTTCCATGAATGAGTCGCCTGCTCTGGGCATGTGTAGTGCATGATGCATAATGTGCATAACTAAGCGCCCCGCAACCATTCGTCCACACAATTCCTTACAGAATCCCTTTCGCAATGCGCCAAACTGATGCTTCCAAATGAAACCGGGTGTGCTGGGTGTGCTGTCTTTTGAGGGCTCCCCTCTCGCGATGAAGGGAAACGGAAGCCAATACCAAATCCGTTTTGGGAGAGACCGGACCGAGGCGAGTCTCCGGTGAAAGTGGTGCTG